TGCAATTCATTTGTTCAGGCAGCACTACCACCAACGATGATTTATCATTTATACTTGTATTGATTTTCTATTCTCAAACTTCCTCAATTATTGTTGTAGACGCTTTAGCATCACATTTTTCTTTACTATTGTACTTCTCTTATTTGTTAGGGGTCGCTACATTGCCTTATACTGGTTCTTTATAAACCAATAATCTCAGCATAATGGCCTCATTTTCCACGTACGAAGCACGAATCATTAGTTCGTTGACATCCTTTAGCTAGCTGGCCTCTCTTATCACAATTTTGTCTAAGCTCCCCTTGTCTGGTAGCTTACTTCTATTCGTCCTTTAGATTTTTTTTTTAATTTTGTATTATTTTGTCGACGAAATTGACATCTTCTTTTATAGTCGAATAATGCTTCTTCCTCTTCTTTCTATATTGAGATTCCTAACATTTGCTTTGTTAACGTTTTTTGGTTGACCAAAAAATTTTCGAAATTTACTAGTGAGGGTTGCTCTGGCCAACCTTGTATAGCGGCACTGAAACCTCTAAATTGGATCTCAATCCATGTATAATTATTCTTCTCATTTTAGGCTCCGAAATTTGACTCGAAAAATCAAATTCAGAAATTTCATTACAAAGATATTTAACTTTTTTAAAATATCGACTTATCGTCAATTCTCCTTGAGTGATTGAAAGTAACTCATTTTCCAGAAGCTACAACTTGAGATCATTTTTCTTCGAAAATGGTGTGGTCAAAATGTTCCATGCTTCCTTTGATTTAGTCTTGTCTTTTATGTGCTCCAACAATTTTTACATGATTGTTGTTTTTATAACGAATATAGTCTTACCCATTTTAATTCTCAATTTCTTTAGAGCTCTGACCTTCTCGGTGGCATCGCGTCGCTTCCACCAACTACTTCCTACAAGCCTTGTCTATGAAGATATGATTCCATGCAAGTTTGTTATGTGGTATAGTTTTTAATATTGAGATTCTTTACTCCACCATCCACTTGTATTCACTCATTGTGATTTGATTTACCTCATTGTAATAAAACAAACTT